CTTCGGGCCATAATGATTTTTTCAGTTTCTTCCAAGGGCCAATTTCTGCCCTCAACTATATTTCTAGACTAGGATAGTCGCAAAGTGCGTGATCTAAGCTTTTTTTGCATTTCAATTATTATTGTGTATTGTGACACTTAACGACATCTAGTGGCGAGTAGTGGTACTATGTACTATCTTTTTCAGCTACCCGCTAGGTGGCATTAGGAGTAATTAAATATTTGGAATTACCGCGTTGGTTCGAGAAAGTTCTGGTTCTAGCTAGTGTATTCCGATCACTTCGAGATGGCAGTAATAATTGCATATAAAAAGGCTAGCGGCACAACTGCGAGTTAGTCTGCGTAGGAAAGGCGAAGGAAGCGAAACTGTCTACTGTGAAATAAAGTAACACCCGTCAATAAAAGTATTTTGATTTGACTTATTGTTTTTATGTGTGATTTGTTAGTATGAAAAAGAAGCGAAAAATCGACAGTGAATGCAGAACGTTCCAAGAATAATGGAACTTTCAGTATTTTGTGATTGAGTCCAGTAATGAGGCGCTATGTTTAATTTGTAATGAAACCATGGCTGTTCTCAAAGACTAAAACATTAAACGACACTACGAATCGAAACATCTTCAAAGTTACTCCAAGTATACAGGAAGTTTGCGGAAGGAAACATTTGAAGCTTTGAAACGCGGACTCAAATCGCAGCAATCTTTGTTTACCAAAGCGAATACTGAACAAGAGTCTGCAACTCGCGCCAGCTTTCGTGTGGCTCTTGAAATCGGAAAATGTGGCAAACCATTCACCGATGGAGAAATGATAAAAGCATGCTTAATTGCAATAGCCGAAGAAATATGCCCCGAAAAGATAAATTTATTTAAAAGTCTCAGTTTGTCAGCAAACACCGTGGCTCAGAGAAAATATATCATCTCAACTGTCTGACAAAAATGGACATCACGAGTGGTTTTCTCTAGCATTGGATGAGTCAGCGGATGTGTCAGATACTGCTCAGGTGTTGATTTTTATTCGCGGAGTAGATAAAAGCTATGAAGTATATGAAAAACTTCTTGATATTGATAGTATTCACGGCACGACAACTGGAGCAGATATTTTCAAGGGAGTTGAAAATGCCATTAATAAAAAGAACCTTCAATGGAGAAATTTGAAATCTATAACAACTGATGGAGGCAAAAATATGTATGGTAAAAATAAAGGAGTGGTTGCACTTGTGTCAAAGGCTGTAGAAAATGATGATGGTTCAAAACCATTAGTCTTACATTGTATCATTCATCAACAGTCCTTGTGCGGAAAATGTTGGATATGTCTGAAGTTCTAAAACCAGTCATATCAGTTGTTAACTTCATCAGATCCACTGGGCTGAATCACCGACAATTCCGCGAGTTTATTCAACAGATTGGAGAAAATGATTTACCATATCATACTGCCGTACGCTGGCTCAGTTGCGGAAAAGTCCTAAAGCGCTTTTTTGAACTTCGAGCAGAGATCGAAATTTTTTAAAATGAGAAACAGCGCCCTTTTGCCGATTTAGAAAATAGTGAATGGATGTGGAAGTTAGCCTTCTATGTCGATTTGACAAATCATATGAACGAACTGAATTTGAGATTGCAGGGAGAAAATCAGCTTCTTCCTAATTTATACACCAATATCAAATCCTTCAGGCAGAAAATAATACTATTTCAATCGCAATTACGTAAAACATGTTTCACACATTTTGAAACATGTGAAATATTCAGCCACACTACAGAGATTGAATTTCCCGTCAATTTTGCAATCAAAACTGAGTGCTTTGAAGATAAATTTTGATACTCGTTTTTCAGATATTGATGTCATTGCGAATGAAATTAAGCTTTGTTAAAATCCTTCTGATTCTGACATTGAAACCCTGGCTCCGGAAGTCCAAATGGAAATTATTGATTTACGGTGCAGTGATATGCTTACGAACAAATATCAAAATTCATCTTTGTTGGAATTTTATAAGAGTCTTCCACTGGAACAATTTGATAATTTGCATAAATTTGCTCGAGGGTTGTTTTCTGTTTTTGGTACTATTTACTTGTGTGAGAAAACGTTTTCCACGATGAAGTACACAAAGAATGTTTACAGATCTCAATTAACCGATGAGCACCTTAAATCTCTTTTGATAATTGGTACAAGTAAAATTGATCCACAATTACAAAGTATTGTCGGTGGAAAATCACAATTACATAAATCTCATTAGTGTTTTTGTTTTACTGTGAGTCATTTCAATTATTTGTTAGTTATTAATATGCTTAAACTTAGATACTTAAGTTAAGTTTTCTTTGTCATCATTTCTGTCGTTAAGTTTTACCTTGTAAGTGAATAAAACCGAGTAATTATATCATTCTGTGTTTTCTTCTTCAACTTATCACAGCAATATTAACAACAATTAGGTAATCATTGGCTGTCGCGGCCAGATTGATGACAGTAAATCATTGGCTGTCGCGGGCCGGATTGATGACAGTGAATCATTGGCTGTCGCGGGCCGGATTGATGACACTGGCGGGCCGGATTTGGCCCGCGGGCCGTAGTTTGGAGACCCCTGAGTTAGACTATAAGAGTGCCGTTTTTTCTTGAAATTGTCTTTAAACATTTTTTGAATGCATGTCACACTTGCCCCGTGATAAAATGTTATTGGAGATAGTGTGACCTATTTGTCGGGGTAAGTGTGAATCTGTTTCATGTGGCCAGTCTGAATAGTGATATTTTTTCAGCTATGGTACGAAATTATACTCGGAAATCTCAGAGAGTCAAACAATATACCACGGAGGCCTTAGAACATGCATTAGAAGTGGTCAAGTCTGGTACTTCAACGATTTATCGTGCTCATAAAAAGTATAATATTCCCAAGACTACTCTTTTTTATCACATGAAGGGCGTTCGAGGCAAAATTAGTAGAACTCAAGGAAGAGCACCCGCGATACCGTTGGATGATGAAGAGAGGTTAGCAAGTGCCCTCAAAATAATGGAAAAATGGGACTTCGGAATTACAAGAAAAGAAGTTTTGCGAATTTTTTCTGAATATGTTATCACTAATAATATCAAAACACCTTTCAAAAACAGTTTTTCTGGGGTAGACTGTTTCTTAAGATTCAAATCTAGACATCGCTTAAGTATCAAAAAACCCCAGAGTGTTGAATATACTAGAAAGAAAATGACAGACCCGTTTGTCATCTATGAATATTTTGATATCCTCGAGAAAGCAATTAAGGACAATGAACTGTCCCTGAAGCCAGAATTAATATGGAATCTAGATGAATCGTCCTTTTCACATGACCCAAAAAAATCGAAAGTTGTTGGAGCCCGGGGGCAACCTAGTTCCAGAACAACAAGCGCACCAGGCAGAGAATACACGACGATTCTCTCCGCTATTTCAGCTTCAGGTACGAGGCCCCACCACTCATAGTTTTCAAAGGAAAACACATTTGGGATAGCTGGATAGCTGATGAAAGGAATAGTTTCGAGGGAATGGCTTATGCTGCGAGTGCCAAAGGTTGGATGGAGGCGGATATTTTTTTAACTATTTCCAAAAAACTCTTATGCCAGTACTAGGCCAAGAAAGGCCAATTTTACTAATATATGATGGTCATAGTACCCATATAAATGTGAAATTAGTGGAGCTAGCACGAGATAATGATATCATAATACTTAAATTACCTCCGCATACCTCACATCTCTTGCAACCACTTGTTTTAGCTGTATTCGTCTCTTAAAGATGCTTGGGATAGGGAACTCGTCATGTGGCAAAAGCAAAATATTGGTATTAAAATCCCAAAAAAGAAATTTTCAGAGTTATTGAGCTCAGTATGGAAAAATCTTCATTCTGATGGTATAAAGAATGGTTTCAAGAAGGCAGGAATTGTTCCAATCAACAAAAATGTCATATCTAGTGAAGTATTCGATCCGGAATCTTTAAGGAGATGGGAAGATGAAAGAAATAAGCAGGGGTCCGTTGAACCAGTACCATCCACTTCCAATTATCAAGCCATTATCCACACTATTTCTATCAATGAACAAACCGACATTATCAGCTCTGTTCCCACAGCCCATAATACTGTTATCGAGAGAAGTGACAGTACCGTCGAAATTCATCCAAAACATTCGTTCGAACAACTGTTATTGAGAACGGTAAAACAAACGACAACACCAGGTTCTTCTAAGAATGAGGAGTGATCCATTATGGATTTGATTGATTATGTAGAGGAAAAATATTGAATAAATTGTATTAGTAAAATGTGATTAATTAATAATTCATAATTCTTTTATGAAGAGGAAGGAAATCTCTGTTTGAGTTCACTTGGGTATCCAAACATTGTATTGGAAAGTTCTTTAGTTCTTTAGTTCAATAATGATCACAAATCTCCGTTCGAAAATTCAACGAATTGAGCGTCGTAGTTTTATCTCACCGACAATCCCCGTAAGATCCCTCGCCAACCGACTACTATCTTTTCAAGCACTTCGATAACTTTCTCACCGGTAAAATCTTCACCAACCAGGATCAGGCAACAACGGCCTCCGCCGACTACATCGAATCCCGAATACCCAATTTTTATGCTGAATGAATTAATCTACTTGTGTTACGTTGGCAAAAGTGCACTGATTCAAATGTCACACATTTTTTACTTCTCATTTTTTTCGTATGTATTACTTCAAAACAAAACATACCCACGCCATCATTCACTTAAAACTTTCAAACGAAGCAATTAGATAGACAGTACAAACATATTTTTTCATTCCGGAATAAATTTACATGAGTAGCTATTTCCTAGACGAAACTATTTTTAAGGACTTATCTTGAAAATCTCTCATGTGTTACTGAGTATATTTTTTACTTTTGTTAGAAGTGGGGCCACGGGGTCAAAGAAAAACGTCTTTTTGAGTTGGAGCGTAAACTGACGGTATCCCCACACCGAGTTCTTAAATAGGACCCATCGTCCTGCAGAGGCAAACAGTTCTTGTTTGTTGATCGGTGAGAAGGCATCCACCCAGAGATGATTTTCTCACTGTGTTGTTTGGTAGTGACTTTGATAATGTTTTTAATTTTGAACAAAATGAAACGACCCAGCAAGTATCCGCCCGGTGAGAAAATTTTATATTCACGTTTTGTTTAATTAAAATGAGGATTTTTCGAATGAATTATTTTAGTATCAGTCTGAGTATTTTGAAAAATTATACATGCAGCAAAGTTGTTCAGCATATTGTTTCTGGATATTGTTTTGTTTTTATTTTTCCCGGTACAAAATACTGCAGACACCATAATATTGAAATTTGAAATTGATAGGATGCATTTTCAGGAGGGAGTCGTTTTTTTGGGAAAAACACTTTGTAGCCTTCTACTTCTCCATCTCCATTAGGAAAATTTTCAAACTTACCATCATACAATAATATACAATATATAAAAAATGTGAAAATGTTTTCCACACGAAGTATTTTGAAAACTTATACATGGAGAAAACTTGTTCAGCGTATTTAAATTGTTTTTGATATTGAAATATTGTTCTGTTATTTTTTCTTCTTGGCATACTGCTTTCTACTTCTCCCACTTTGTACAGAAAACCTGAAAAACAGTGTTTGTATGCTACCGTGTGTAACGCGCCTTAAAAAAATTATGAATAGTGTTACCAAAATTTGTATCAAGTAACGGGTGTATTCATACTTTTATCCAAAAGTTCAATACTGAAGTAATGAAATGAAGAATGATGAAATTATTGAGTAAATATGCCCATATCCTACGTTCATTTTAAATATACAGGGTAATAAATTGATGGGGGATTAAAATTATTTGGCTCATGTTCGAAATGAAATCTGAAAAAAATATTGTAAACTTTTATAATTTGTGTTGATTCTGAAAGAATTTTTGACAAGGGTTCAAAAACTCATCTCAGTTTACAATATTGACTTGGATTTCAACAACGAATTTTTTTTTCCAAGTGCCTGATAATTTTTGAAAGGATATTGGTGTGAAAAGGCAGTCGAAAAGTAAGCTGGGTTACCAAAAATTTTCAATTACACACATCTTTATGAAGTCTTCTGAAATATTTGTTTGAAAATATTTCAACAAAGTATCTGGATAATGAAACAATGAAACATTTTCTAATTGGAGTAGTATTCTATACGGTCTTTGAAGCGGATAGATCTAACGAAATATTTTTCTCGGGAACATTTTTTTTTTCAAAAATTCTGTCATCCTCCCGTCTATCTGTGGGTATCAGATTTGAGAAAACATTCAACATTTTGAACGAAATGAGATATCCATTTGAAATTTGGCACAGATGTGAGGTGCAACAAAGAAATTTTTTAATAATAAAATCGACGAAAATCTCAGAACGGAAAGGGGTTTTACCAAAATGTGTAAAACAGCTTCAGAAGTATTTTAAAAATAAATGATGATTGATTTCATTTCCTCTCTACTAGTTCTACAACAAAATTTTCAATGAGATGTTTTATGGTTATATATGATAGTTTAGGAATGATGACCAATTCCGGAAAAATCACTAAAGTTTCAGTATCTCTGGGAAATATCAAAAATATTCATGTGACACATTTTGTCTGTTCAAACGGGGTCTGTGGAAATGTTCCCAAGTTTTTTCATATCTATGTTTCTTTAGTAATGGGCGAAAACTGAAAAATCCAATTTGTCGTAATCTCAAATTAACAATTTTGGTCGAAAAACGACTGAGAATGTAAAAAAAGTTATGAAACAGAACTTGTTCAGCTTCTTGAGTCCTATCAAAAACACACATTTTCTTCATAACTATAATAATACAGAAAATTTCGAAGAAATTTGGTTACATTCAATTTCACTCTGAATCTTCGGAGTCAAGAAGAAGCGCTTCACACCATAACTTAGTTCCCTTGATTCTAACTCAAACTATTTTAGGGTACAAAATATTTTTACAAATTTTCAACAGTAAAAGTAAAGTGTAATTGAATGAGTATTTTTCTCTTTTGTTTTTAGATCCAAAATTACGGGTTCAAACACGAAATTTCAAATTCAATCTCTAAATTCCGACTTCAAACTAGAAATTCCACTAATTATGTCTCAGTATTATAGAAATACCTAGACATTTTGGCAAATAATTGACATCACAATTTAAAATGATTCGAAAGTGAAGTTATCATCAAGACATGGGATGAAAATGCATGTGAATATTTGAAAATCCAAAAAAATAGAATGATCAATCTATTCAATAGAACCAGATACAGATAAAAAACAAATTTTTCGGTCTTAACTATACATCTCTGGAAGCACTTTACGATGAAATAGAGCATTTAGTGCATGAAATATTCAAGAATTTTGGTTTAAGAAAGTCTCGTTTTCCTCAGTATTCGCCAGTTAATTGGTTGGTTAGTGAATTCCACTCATGAAATCATTTCTCCTCCAACGTCATCAACCTTGATGAAAAAATGAGAATTGAAACTTCCTATGTTTTTATACCACTTGAAATTTACGTTACTGCAGTTTCGTCCTATATGGAAATTTTCAAACTATTACAATAAATTGAAATATTCAACAGTGTACACCCTTAAACAATTACAGTAGGTGATAACGACGGTCTTTAACAACATAAACACTTATCCAATATAAACACTATCACAGTCCGGACGGCATCTTATAAACTCCAGATTTTTTCGGCATTACTCGTAAAAATGAAATCAGATAACCTGGCATGTAGCCTGAATGCCACTTTCACATAGTGTTTTCTGAAAAATCCTGCTATTTTCTCTGTTCTTTTAACAAAATATGTAAAAGTTTTTCAGGTAATAAAGTCATTAAGGACTGTCTGTAATAGTATTACCTATTGTAGTTATATAATAGGTGTATAAGGGTGAATTATTTCCGTTTATTGTATTCCTTTGAAAATATCCTTGTAGGACGAAACTGCACTTTTATTTGTAACGTTGGTTACAAATAAAAATGGTATAAAAACATAGGAAGTTTTATTTGTCACTTTTCATGATGGCTCCATCTATCAATCTTTCATCAACTTCGCCGTTTACAAAACGGCAACGTTTTCATACTTAGAATATAAAAACGCCTGAGGAAACTATTGCATAGCGAAACCCGTGTTGTGGTTTTGTGAACTGTCCAGTGAAAATCTCACAAAAAATGTTTCTTGAATAAGTTATGGATTTTCATCAAAAACCGGCCAATTCCATCACATATCTTAAGAAAGCTCCCAATGGTTTTTTGGCCTTTTGGAGTAAGAAAACGCTTGAGGTAGCGAAATACGTCTTGTGATTTTGTAAACTGTCCAATAAAAATCACACAATGATGTATTACTTGAATGAGTTATTGGCCAATTCCATCATATATTTTCTATGTTTTTCGTCACTGCCCCAAACTGTTAAATAAACTTTATTGATAGTGGTCTGCCTATTTACCCTTTCGTTGCAGCAACTCTACATTAGTTTCTGTTTCATACAATAAATTGAGTTTGATAATTTCTTGATTCATCTTTGAAATTTTTCTCTTGTCTCCTTCATTTTTTCCAGCTTCCACAACTTTCTAGCGAGTACTTTAAGTTTTTTAATTCTAAACAATTTGCCAGTCGTTACTAGAATAACACTGATGAAGTTGTTTGTTGGTGATCTCTCTTTCACTCATTTCAGAATATTCCTTTTAATCGAATATTCATTTGTTTTTTTGTATGCGTTGCAAATCTAAATTATTTTGAATAAGTGTGTGGAAAATAATTGAACCGGGTACATCTATTGGGTATCTACTGAAATATATATATATATACATATATACATTAGTAAAGGTAGAAATTTAAATCGTCGTTTTTTCCGTCACAGAAAACAATTGTGTATTATACACAGGAAAAATATTATATTATAATATTCATGCAGTTATTGTTCACTGTGGTTCTGGCGTTGAATTTAGTCATTATTACGCCTTGGTCGAAGACGAAACGGACTGGTTTAAGTTTGACGATAGTCGTGTTACGAAGTGTTCTGGCTATGTATTGAATCTATTGGAGCCTCTGGAGACACTCTACATTTTGTTTTGTGAGAGAGAGGGCATTGGCAGATCAAGATCTTCAGATGATGTGGTGCTGCAGGTTTTTACGGGTTTACTGCAGCTGAAAAAGCAAATGCGCCACTGGAATCAATGAAGTCGCCTTGGAGCGCCAATTAATTTTTATTGTTGTTTTTATTTTTATCGATGTTTCATTAACAAGTTAAACGATTTTTTTTAAAAAAAAAGGAAAAATATTAGATTTTAGCTCTCGGTTTTTTGCCTCCCCAACATAACCTCAAGATAATACTTTTTTCCCTGGAACGGTTTCAGTTTCAATTCAATTCAATATTACAAAACGTAATATTTCATATGCTTACAAAAATATATTTCAATTTCAAGGTGCAATCTAGGATTTCGACAAAAATTAGTTTTCAACTCGTCATTGATTTTCTGTTATTCTACTACCAACCATAGCAATAGCGTTTATTGAAAAAGGTTTACTTTAAGAAGAGATTAGGTATAAACAACTGACAAACCCTTTTTTCCATTTTGTATCTTCAAAAAACTTCTTCGAATGATATAAATATTTTTAAAGGATTTTGTTCGTTGTCTCAAAATTACTGAAAAATATCAGGTAGGAATATATTTTTCTTAAGGTTCATTCAGAGCAATGTCGTTAGGGAAGTAAAATATGATACAAGTTTTTGGTACTACAGGGATTAACTTTGGAACCACTTCTCTTGGTATTTAATAATGAAATTTTACATATTGTCATTTGGATAACTCCTTTCAAAATTGATTACATGGCGTTTCAAAATTATATTGACGATACAACAATTATATGTGATAGAATTGACCGAGATGTTAATTAAGTCTGTGGACAATACATTTTGTTTCAATTGGGAAACAAATTCACAGAAGAGAATCTACATTTTTGTCATCATAAATCTGATAAAAATCTTCATTTCAATCGAACAGGTCCAACCTTCATTCCGATAGTTGGGAACTTCTTGATTTATCGAAAGCGACTGAAAGTACTTGGATATCACCATTTGGTATGGATGGAATTATTTCAAAAATATGGTGACGTCGTCGGTTTGAAATTGGGACGAAATTTGGTAGTTGGTGTTTGTGGACCGTTGGCTATACAAGAAGTATTCGAGAGAGAAGACTTTGACGGACGACCAGACGGATTTTTCTTCAGGATGAGAACATTTGGCAAACGGTTAGGTGAGTTGAGATTATTTTATTTCCTTATTGTTCTTGATTACTTACTTCAACTGGAGAGGACAATTAGTAGTTATTATGATAAAAAATATAGGATTTATTGAAATAGTAACTCGACTTTTTGAAAAATATATGGAGTGTGTTGATAAATTGAGACCCAAATTCAATTGTGCGGTATATGGAAGTAAAATTTATCATTCTTTCAAACCTTTGCCAATGGAACGAAAATAATAATAACGGTCTTTATTGGATGGAATATAAAAAAACAACCAAAAGTTGAAGTCCAAAACTGTAGTGTATTCTGATACTAAATCAATATGAGAAAAATGAATGTTGGGTTATTTTTGATTGCTTCATTCTTTCATGATTTGTGAATCGGTCTTATCTTTTGTGAATCTATCCATCCACTTTATTTGTAAGCATTTCTCGAGTATAATACTGACCTATATCCTCTATATACAGGCTGATTCACGGTGGATGGCACATCAGACGTTTCTGGTGAACCAAACACTAAATTACTTTGGAAATTAATTGGAGAGCTATATTCGAATATTCTCTACCCAACTAAAATATTTTCGACAATGCGGTGTTGCCACTTCCATCAGAAAGTAGTAAGCAACTTCGATTTTCCAAATAGAATACCATGTATATAATATTATTTTTGGAATCTATAACAATCAACTGACAACGTTTCCTGATATTTTCCTATACCTATACATATTTCAAACAGATTTAAACCTATCTGTTACCGTTTTCGAAATATGAATGATTTCATTTTTTTCTTCAGAAATCATGATATCTTTAAGTTAAGAAATATTATGGTACCGAAATTTGATTTGGATTTAGGCGATACTTGGAGACTTTCCACACTCCAACGTAATCTCCGTTACTTCAATTCAGGGTGGTAAAAAATACAGTTTTTTCGTTTGCTTGAAAAAGTGACTGAAAGTTGATTATATCAAATGGAAAACAAATTCATAAAGCTGTTATAATTTGATTTCTTTCTATGTATATCATGCGTATACCTAACCAGTCAAGTATCGGACTTATGAGCATTTAATTGTGAAAATGTCCCTTCAGAATCGTATTTCCATTCGGTATTTAGTGAGCAGGCCATGATTACTATTTGACAGTAACGTTGTGACATTGTGCTAATAATATTGACATTTTGGTCACTTCAGAATTTTCAAATACCTTCAAAACAATGTAACAAAACTATTTAAATAAAGTTCTTATGAATTTGTTTATTATTTTTGCACAGTATGATAAAATTATCAGCAGGACATGTAGAAAGTTCAACGAAAGGTATCCGAATCTACCGCAAATGATCCTCAAGTGAATTATATAAATTCAGAACCATTTCATTGCATTCGGATCAACTTTCAAGGGACTAAGAAACTTGCCGCGACCCGTAACTTCTGAAGTCAACCAGATAAATGTCTTAGCATATTTTCACACATTTCCTGAGTGAGGAAGTGCTGAAGATTTGGGTATAACATATTCATCGTTCATCAAGAACATCCATTTTTTTGAATAAAATTATTTGGAACTATGGATCGAAATTTTCGAGAGAAGGAATTTTCAATAGAAGAAATTGTCATTATTGGTCTAGGAAAATCCTCGCGTCACAAAAGAAGTCAGATTTCAAGAAAAATTCAGTTTTAATGTCTTTTGCAATGGACAACAAATTGTGTTACGCCATATTCGAGGAATTATTACCATGCAGAAGCTACCTGAATATTTTGGAGAATACAGTAGAGAGCTTTGTCGGTAGCCTGCCACTCGAAGAATATCGAAAATGTTGGTACCAACTAGACGGAGCTGTTGCACATTGTACAAGAGAAGTGGGCGCAGAACTGGATACACTTTTCGACGATCGGTGGATAAGGAGTTTGAGACCATGGAATTGGCCAGCAAGATCACCCAGTTTTGATCCATTAGATTTTTATCTGTGGGGAATGTTTGAAGAAAAAATTACAAAACACCCGTACGTTCGAGAGAAGAACTGTTAGAAAGGATTACCCATTTGAAGATTTGGATCCCAATGAAGTCAGATCTGCCACGACGAAAGTGGTCGTGTTCTGAGAACATTTTTCTCAAATGGTTTTAATTTTTAGCGATTCAAATCCAATGTGAATAATTACTTTCGCACGGCCACCGCTCTTAGAACGCCTTATGTGCTTGTGTTTTGTCCTTTGAAAAAAAAAGGCAACACCCGTAAATACAAATTGCTCCGTGCATTTGTATTTCCAATTTTTAACTTCTTTATTAATATTAAGACACTCAATGAACTTCATATTTGTATAATTTCCAGGGCCGGATATCACGCAGGTAGCTATAGCTGCCTCCGTAGTGATTTTGATATTTTCTTGTAAACGCAAGATTTAATTACTATACCATAAATGTGCGGCTGGCTTCTGCTGATGGCTACGTGCATTTAGATTTCTTTCTTTTGGTGTTGCCCATCCTTACACTTGGCTGCATCATACTGACGATGACGCTGCATCATACTGACGAATAAGTGTCTATGTTTTGCCAATTTTTTGAGTGCTATGCCCAATCATTAACTTCTTTATTAATATCAAGACACTCAATAAACTTCATATTTATATAATTTCCTGGACCGGATGTCACGCAGGTGTTATGTCCAATCATTAACTGCTTTGTATATATACCAAAGAACTTGAATTTTTATGGATTTCTGAAGCCAAAAAAACTTTTCACAACTGAGTATATTTCAAATAAATTAAAATTTATATTTCTCACAAACATTGAACACATAATTTCAAATATAAAAAGATCAGATTGAACGAGTGAACCTCTTGAAATATTTCTTGGAAGATTTCATATTTTGAAACTACCTACCTACGTCTGAGATCATTTTACTCAGGAAGGTAAAGATCCTTCGAACTAGAAAGCCACGCCATGGTTCAATACGATTTTCACGATTTTCAGTTTGAATAGTGAAGTGTAATTATCTTTTCCATCTAGAAGATGCCTGAGGTTTCTGATAAGCAACTAAGTTCAGCTCGACTGTAAGCCTTTTTACAATGGTTCTTTCAGCTCAAAATATCATCCAAATATTTGAACAACGATTTCTTCTGAAACGTTAATCCCATTATGATTTGTCTGATTCCAAAAGAAAATATAATTCAAATTTAATAGCGAGTTCCGAAACTCTGGTATACAAGGCGTTTCTTTACTACGGTACGAAACTTCAGGGGATGATTCGTTAGGTCCTTTTGAGGAAAAAAGTTGCTATGAACATATATTCGGAGTTGCTTCGTTTCTGAGATACAGGGCGTTGAAGTTTAAAAAAAGGGGATTTGTAAAATATAAATATTCTTACGCTGATTTGGTTGAAATTTGCTAAAGCTCTTTGAAGTAATGAGGCTCTTATTTAGACTTAACTAGATTGGAATTATTAGTTCCAATGGAGTCTCAGTGGGCACCGCAGCCAACAATATTGGAAAGAAGTACGCCACTGACTTGTAATTTTTTTTTTATCAAGCAACTAAAAATACAACTTTCTCATCGCTTGGTTTTTCTTCATATATATAGTTTCGTTTTCGAGAAAAAAAATTGAATCCACTTTGCATATCATGAACACCTACCTACTTTGGAGACGAGCTGACAGTGATAGTGTTGTCATATCACTGAAAATAGTTGTTGATTATTAGCAGTGATTCCAACAGGAATAATTTTACTAACGCTGAAATGGCTGACATGCATTTTATTTATGGATTAGCAAATGGAAATGCAGAAGCACAGATAATTTACCAGGACAGATACCTCAACAGAGTAATTCCATGTGCAAAAACATTTAGAACGCTACATGCAAGATTATGTGAAACTGGGAGTTTTAATAAAAATGCAGGTGGTGGAAGACCAGAAACTGTAGCAACGCCTGAACTACAAGAAGCTATACTTGATGCGGTGGAAGAAGATCCTTCAAATAGTACCAGGAACATTGCACTGCAGCTGGAAGTCAGCACAAAAATCGTATGAATAGTTCTAAAAAGAAAGCTTCCCTACCCATATCACATACTGCGCGTCCAAGCCTCGGGATTTTCACCCGAAATTAATATTTTGCAGGTGGTTGATTCATACTTATTTTATTTACGGGCGAACCAAATTTCTCACGAGATGCTATTATGTTTATTTTATCAGAATGTGGACATTTTGCTCATTTACTTCAAGGTCCAAATTGTTTATCATTTACTTTTGGTTTTATTTCATGCTGTCCATAGATAGTGATTTTTTTCGAAATCAAAGCTTGATATGAAGAAAACACACACGACGGAAAAGTTGTATTTTCAGTTGCCTAATCTGAAAAAGTAAAAAACTACGAGAAAGTCAGTGGAGTTCATTTTTTCTCAATATTGTTGGCTGTGGTCCAACTGAGACGCCACTAGACCCAATAATTTCAATCTAGTTCGGGCTAAATAAGTGCCTTGTTACTTCAAATAATTGTAGCAACTTTCAACCAAATCGGTGTAAGGAACTTTATGATATTTTATAAATACAGTTATTGTCAAACTTCAACACCGTACATCTCAGAAACGAAACAACTCCGGACATATGTTCATAAAAACTTTTTTCTTATAACGAATCACCCTCTAAAGTTTCGTACCGTAGTTATGAAACACCCTGTATATGTAAATGACGAGAAACTTCAGTTTTAAACCCAACTTGAGGTGCATATAATGTGTTTTGAAACATTTTGTAAATTGAGACCAGCGTTCAAGATATCATTTTTTATTAGTGAATTCTGTATAGATACGGCAAGTATGTAACTGGAATTATGGAATGCTGAATACATTGATGTTCTCTAAGACTTACTAGAAACCAATTACTAGAAAACTCCAAGGCACAATTTATATAGGTCAACGACATTTACTTTGATGTAGGTCGGGGACTATGTCAAGGACGTTTCATGCTACTGGTAGGTGATATTCTTGTCAGGAGGGAATGAGGAAACGTTGCCCTTTGATGGATCTTGA